TGTTACAGTAAACGTACCAGTTAGCAATTCCGGCAAGTCCACCAGCCAGCAATGTTGAGCCAGGTGACAATGTACGTTGAGCGCCTTCACCAGAGAATTTCTTCTTGAGGAACTCATACACTGATAGATATGCCGCACTCGCTGGTATATCTAAAACCAAAGGCTGAATGGAATCAGTTTTGTCTGGGGGAATAAAAGTAGTAATGAATGCCCGTTTCTCGCAAGCCATTGTAAGGGTCAACTCGAATGCAAAACTTTCCTATGATGCCAAATGCGCAGCGCATCCCTAGAGGGACTGATCAGCCCAGAAATGGTTACGTTTTAATCTCCAAAAGACCGTATGGACAGCTTTCAAAGTTAATTTCTGATAGCGATATCCCTTATTTCGTGTAAACTCGTCCCATTCAAGTAATCCGCGGGTGACTAAAATTTAAGGAGATCAGAAAATCGATCCCTTTGGCACTCTAGCGCTACATTATCATTTATTGCCACTATATCGCTATAAAAAATGTCACGACAACTCGATGTAAAGACCCATTCTAGGAACCTATGACCACCAAGAGTAAAAAAACAAAGATAGACAAAAAAGAAAAGAGGAGGGATATGGTTATCCCACTTTCTTTTTCTGAAATGCGATTATTTACAGAATTTCTTTATACGTTAACAAAAAAACGGCTTAACTTACTCATTTAGTTATTTATTTAACCGCGCCAGAAGGCGCGCTACAGTGCAAATTAGCGCAGCTGCGCAAAAAATAGTCATTTAGTCAATAGTAGATAGTAGTAGTAGAAGCGAATTGAATGAAGCTGTTTTGTTATGATAACTGCTGTTTAACGCCGCAGTACGCGTTCCGAATGTTATCACAAGAATGCTGAGTTGTGGGCAAAAGTCGTGCCCCAGGCGGGAGTCGAACCCGCACCTCACGCTTTCCGGGCGAGTGCGCTATCCGTCACCTACCACCTTAAACGTGTGAATGCTGGTAGGCTACGGCATAACCGTTAAGCTGAGAGAGTAAAAGCGGCCCTGGTGGCATAGGCGGCTACTCGCCGCAGGAAAGCGTGAGTGCGGTTTGACTCAGCCGCGTTCTGGGGCACGACTTTGCCCCGAACTCAGCATTCTTGATGAATTGGAATGATTTAACATGAAAAATCCATGGCCGACTCTTCTCAAAGCGTCGCACCGGTTCCTGTCTGGTATAGAGAGCTGGTGAGTCCACCGTTGCTATATAGTCGCGCCGATACATCCAAAGGCCATTTGAATGTCACTACCGACGGAGCGTGGCCTTGAGGATTGCACCTTTGATCATGAAGATGTTCAACGTGACAAAATAAGTAAAAACTCCGAGATCGTACGCCACCCTACCTACTGCAATTAGACCACCTTGATTCGTTCGCCAGGCACCATAATGATAGTTGTGAACACACCGGCCAACGCACCACTGTTCATATTCTGGATAAACGTCATTTCCTGATCTGAACACGAGATACTGTATTGTTGAAATCGCTTTGAAGAAAAACTGATTAAGTAGAATCACTTGGATCCGACGTCTGCAGATGTCTACCAACGGCACAACCGGCAAAGAACACCGCAAACAGGGGACTTACTCCGGCCAGTGGAGCGGCCATTCCCTAAACCGAACTGCTTTGAAAAACTGATCTCCATGTGGATCATTAAATACAGTAATGCGCCACGATTTATCAAAAACAAGGCAATTTAAGTGAGGCAGGGCACGGGAGAGACAGCCTGTCCTCTCTGCCCAAATTCAAAACATTCTGCCGTTGGTAAGAAACTTCTTAGCCTTCCTTCTTGAGATTTCCTTCTTTGGCTGCAACCTCCCCCCCCCGTCTAACGACCATTCTCCCATGCCTATCTACCATTTTTATCAATGTTGGCGTAGCATGTAACCAGCTTCGCCTTCCAATTTTTTGGGATTCTTTCCAAAGAATAAAAACCCGCCTTGGGAGCGGCGCCGGGCGGGGGCTGAAGTGATAACCGACCCCACCCACTCCACAGTCCCAGGCCAGGTTCAAGGGCTCACCTTATAAAGCGCGAAGAAACCCTCTTTGGCGACTGTTTGCTTCACGCAGTCCAACGCTCCTCTGAACAGCGGTGGCTCTCCTGGCTTTGGTCGAGGCATCGTTTGCAGCCGGACCTGAAATGCCATTTACGACTCCTCATTCAATTAGCGGACTTGTCGGGGCGTATCGGCCAGAGGAGTGCGCACACTGTTTGAAGCCGTTCTCAGCCTTTTCTTTGAAGCGCGTATGCGACAAAAAGTGGTAGAAAACGAGTAATACGAAGGATATAATGCTGTTATGTCATTTGATCGCTTCAACAACTGGTGCAGAAAGACTTTGGAACCGCGGAAAACGCAGCCGCACTGACCCGCCCCGACAGTCCGTAATGATGAGGAGTATACACCATGAACAGTATCGATCTATCGAATTTCCTCTTTTTTACCATGTAGTAGGCTTTGATAATGAATTTGATGTAGTGGCAAGAGGCACTTGGTCACATCTGCACTGTTTAGACGATCGGATCCCTATCTACAAATCGTTTCATTCCTCACATACTTCTGCTTTCACCACTGCTCTCCACAGGTCCTATCTCCTTCTCGCCCAGCTCTTCTTGTCTTTTCCTTTCTTCATACCCTCAAAGCTTCTGGCAAATGCGCGACTAGAAAATGCTCTTACACTTTGAGAGCAGAGAAATTTCTGGTTGAAAAATCCTTAAATCCTGTCCAAATCCAATCTGGCACTTCGACAGACCCTTTAATGAGGAATTCTCTGCATGCAACGTGCACCGTACAAAATTTCCTTTCAATTTCAACGTATCAGGTGGTAAAGTTGAGCGCACTGGCTGATAACGGCTGCACCTATTATTGTAGCCTTATCATTACAGATTACTTCCGCTTAGTACAATTGTTATCAGTACAAAACTAACCTGATCACACTACAAAAGATGCCTTATTGTTGAATAACCTTGTAAAATGCTCAGACTCATTTTACGACAGCTGCAAACTTCTGCAAGGCCAAAAACCCTGAATCTAAAAATGTCTGCTCATTAATTCAAACCTAAAATAGCTCTACGCGAGAATGCATGGACTCCGCGAGGTCTGAGGACACTAATAGAGGACTTCAGAGAGGCTCTTATCCTTCCAACAATCGTCCGGAACCGATTGCAAATCAGTT